CTGTGCATGAGCCACATTCTGCTTATCCAGTCATCCACTGGACATTGGTACAGTATCCACCTTGTAGCTTTGGTGAGTGATGTTGCTGAAACATTGGTGGGCATGTGTGTCGTTAAGTCCCTGCTTTTAATTCTCTTGAGTGTCCACCCAGAAATGGAATTGCTGGATGGTGTGATATTCTGTTCGATTTTTTTGAGGACCCATCCTACTATTTTTCACAGCAGATGCCCTATCTTACATTCCCATCAGCATTGCACAGGGGTTCCAATATCGCCACCTCCTCACCCGCACTTGTTATTTTCTATGTGTTTGTTTCTGTTAGTGTAGGCATCCTAAAGGTGTGATGTGGTGTCTCATTATTCTCACTCATTTTTAACGCCATATTTGTAGTTAGTGTACAAGACATGGTTACTTTGTTATTTTTTTAAAATAGTTTTAGTTGTAGATGGGCACAATACCTTTATCTAATTTATTATATGTGGTGCTGAGAATCGAACCCAGTGCCTCACCCATGCTAGGCTAGTGCTCTACCACTGAGCCACAACTCCAGCCCTCACAGTTACTTTGAATATTATGTTAATCAATGTCTGGCAGGAAATTGAATTTATACATTCATGTGTATCTACATATATGTATGCATTCATTCCTCTTCTAGTTCCAAAATTTGTGCAATACCTTCTAAGCATCAACATGACTAAAATAAATAGTTCAATTCATGGCACTGGGAATATATTAGAAAAATGTTTAAAAAGAGAAAGAAACTATAGTCCAAAATAGATGAACATGAAAGTATGTTTGAATGTCCCACACAATTACTAAAACTGGTGTGAAAAGTCATTCCTGAACTTCCTAGTAGCAAAGAGAAAAAGGGAACAGGGTAGAAACATGGTTTGTTCCAAATGATGAAAGCACAGGGAAAAGGCTTTCCTTGGCTTGCAAATGTAAGAATTAAGCAATAACTATTTTGAAAGTTTCAATAATAAGTTTGAAAGTTTCAAAACAGTTTTACTGGCACCAGCAGATTTCAGACTAAAACAAAATTTTCATTTTTGCTTTTTGGGGTTGGAATTGGAAATGACTCCACAGCCTGACCATTATAAGACTGTTTCTGGCTAAAACAGTAGTTTCAAAGTACAGTTAGTGAAACGAAAAGTAAATTTCATGTATCTCAACTGAGCAATGAGATCTAACCCTTTGGACATCAGGCAGTTAATATTTTCTGTAGTATAACAGGTAAAATCTTGAATTGCCTTATACATGTTTATACATGTACCTAGCATTTCCTTCCCAGGTCACATATTATAAATATGTGTGTTTATATAAATAGTCTTTTTAAAAATGTGTGCTTATCTTCCTTTGGGAAAAGATCTTCATCTTCAAATCTGATGATGAAATTCCTGTTTCAACTTGAAACTACGGGAACTAATGTATCATTTCAAATATATGTTAGGAAAAAAGTTTCATAACTGGAACTGTGTCAAGTCCACTTTTAAGCATTTAAGAGCAAAGGAAAAAAAGAATAAAAGCCACATCCAACAGATTTTTAAAAGAACTTAGAAAGTTTGTTTTAAAAATTACTCTAAAATTGAAATAATTGGTCTGGAGTTTTCCAGAAGTTTGGATAAAATATAATAATGGTCCCCCAACCACCCACATACCCACACCCCTCGAGTTCTGAGGATCAAACTCAGGAGCCTGGTAGGTGAGTACTCTACCACTGAGCTACATCACTAGGCATTTTTATTTTGAGATAGGGTCTTGCTAAGACCTTGATTTCTGTCCTTGAACTTGTAATCCTCTTTCCTCAGCCTTCTAAGTAGCTGGGGTTACAGGCGGATGCCACCATGCCCAGCAAATAATGCATTTCTTGATCATTTATAATGTTTTAGACACAGTTCAGAGTGCTTTGTACATATTTACTCATTCCACTGAATTTAATGAGGTTAATCAATAGTATTAGGTAGGGAAACTGAGGCAGGAAGCAGCTAAGTGTCCTTGCTCCAGGTCATACAACCAGGAGTTGGGAGTTATACAACTTGTACATCACATAGTCTGGCTCCAGAGGCCACACACTTACTCACAAACTATACTGCCTCTTGACATCATAGCAGATGAACCAGAGGACAGTTGTGGCCAACTGATAAATATTTTACTTTTTTTTTTTTTTTTGTCATTAAGGTTTTGGGGTATTTTCTTAATAATTAAACTCATCTAAATTTTTTATTTGTTTTTTTCCATGCAATATGGGAACTACAGTTTAATAAAGCAGATTCAAGTGATTTTTTTATACATATATCTTTCGTCTTTAATATATATTTATATATAGATAGATCTAACAATTATAAACTATGGTTTATTTTGCAGGAAGCGGGTAAATGAGATTATTTAGTTTTTTGGACTGGGAATTGAACCTAGAGGCACTGAGCCACATCCTCAGCCCTTTTTATTTTTTGAGACCAAGTCTCTCTAAATTGTCCAGGCTGGCCTCAGACTTGTGACCCTCTTGCCTCAATCTTCTGAGTCACTGAGATGACAGGTGTGCACTCTTGCACCAGATTACCTCAATTACTCTTGAAAACTTGAAATTTTGTCTCATAAATAATTCATGGTGCTATTTTTTTTTTCAAAAAATGAGTGACACTCCTGATTCTGGGTAAATGATAAACTCTGTGCCACCATTAAAAATGATATTTTTATGAAGAGTAAAACCATGAAAGAATGATTCTAAAGTGGAAAGCAGGAAAAAGTAAATTTATGAGAAGCCAATCTGTATATCACATCATTCCCAAAATTAGAAAAAAGATGAGAAAGTCTATGGCTATCACCTGGTAGACTAGCAATGATTTCTTGTTTGTGGTTAATTTTCAATAAAATTTAAACAATTGGAGACTTTCATTACAAAAGCATTGTGTATAGCTCTGAATATCTTTGGTATAATTTAGAGTCATCCTTGAACATCTTTGGTATAATTTTGAGTCATCCTTGAAAGCTCTATACCATAGGGGTAAAGGTGGACAGAATTCAGACCAGCACTATCAGCTGTGGCTAACTTAATTAAAAATGATAAAATTTAAAATTCAGGGACACAGCCACATCAATATTTATAGCAGCACAATTCACAATAGCTAAACTGTGGAACCAACCTAGATGCCCTTCAATAGAAGAATGGATTTTTAAAAATGTGGCATTTATACACAATGGAAAATTACTCAACAATAAAAGAGAGTAAAATCATGGCATTTGCAGGTAAATGGATGGAGTTAGAGAAGATAATGCTAAGTGAAGTTAGCCAATCCCAAAAAAACAAATGTCAAATGTTTTCTTTGATGTAAGGAGGCTGATTCATAGTGGAATAGGGAGAAGGGAGCATGGGAGGAATAGATGAACTCTAGATAGAGCAGAGGGGTTGGAGGGGAAAGGAAGGGGCATGGGGTAATTAATGATAGTGGAATGTGATGATCATTATTATCCAAAGTACAGGTATAAAGACACGAATTGGTGTGAATATGGTTTGTATACAACCAGAGATATGAAAAAATTGTGCTCTATATGTGTAATAAGAATTGTAATGCATTCCGCTATCATATATAAATGAAAAATAAATAAAATTTAAAATTCATTCTATTAGCCTCACTAGCCCCATGTCAAGTGTTCAGTAGTCACATGTGATATTGACAGCTTTACCATTATCACAGAAAATTATTGCACAGCACAGTTCTGAAGAAAGAACACAGAATCTGGAGCCAGAATCTTAGAATCAAGTCTTCCTCCAGGCTGGCACTTTCTGTGTGAAATGGGGCAGTTTACTTAACCTCTCTGAGTGTCTTTCTCCAGGGGCAAATTGATACTGGTATCATTTACCATGTACAGAGGTTAAGAAAAGACAAAAGTAAGAGAATGCAGGTGACAGTTCTTGTGTTCTACCAGGAAGATATTGCTTCATAAGTCCCCCAACTTGAAGTTAGCCAGCTCTTTTGTGGATTGATTCCAAATCCATAAACAGTTCATACCAAGAATTTTGTGTGAAGGACAGCATAAACTGACTTAATACCGTTCCTAAGCCAGGTCCATGGCAATGTGGGCATTCCATTCCTTCCTATTCTAAAGCTTCAGCACACAACTATGTATCTTACTTATTACACCTGTTCAAAGTTTTCTTTAATAATTGCATTGCCTTGCCAGACATGGTGTAGTGCAAACCTGAAATCCCTGCAACTTGGGAGGCTGCAACTTAGGAGGATTGAAAGTTCCAGGTCAGCCTCAGAAACTTAGCAAGACCTTGTCTCAAAATAAATAAATAAATACATAAAAACAGATTGGCATGTAATTAGGTAGTAAAGCATTCCCTGACCAGTACCCACCCCTGGAGCCAAACAAAAAAATGAAGAAGATGGTGGATAGGCAGGGAATGTAGCTCAGTGGTGGAGCATTGACCTAGCATGTGTGAGGCCCTGGGTTTGATCCCCCAAATAAATAAACTAAAATATATACATACCTACATACATAAATTTACTGCATTTCTCTATTCCACACCTACAATATCTTAAAAAAAAACTGCCTAAGAAAGAAAATAAAAGGACTGCATTTGCAAAATAAAGAAATAGAATGTGTGCTTTAGTTGAATCATCTGAGTTGACAGTGCAGGAATTAATCCAAAGATGTTGCCATTTACTGCAAAAGCTAAGGTTTTCACCAACAGTGGCAGTAGGTTCTCTAAGTTTCAAAGCTGTTGGAGGACTGATAAAACGGAAGTACTTGCTCATTCTGGTCCCCCCCCCCTTCTGAGTCACTTTGGGTTTTTCCTGCTCAACTTGACTATTTCAGACTATTTTAAGGCTGCTGCATTTCTACAACAGCCTCCATCTTATTTCTCATTTAACCACCCCATGGCCTAAAAATTCCTAAGCATGCATCTTGTGAGCCTGGAAAGAGGCCAAGGAGCCAAATTGGGGCTGAAGTCGGTGCAGGTTCCCCACTCACGCCACCTTTTGCTTCTCCAGGTTTCCAGCTGTGGATGCCTTTGACATTATGACCGCAGAGGATTCCACCGCAGCCATGAGCAGCGACCCAGCTGCAGCATCCTCGGCGAAGGTACCCGAGGGCGTGGCGGGCGCGCTCAACGAGGCCTCGCTGCTGTCGCTTATGGAACGCACCGGCTACAGCATGGTGCAGGAGAACGGGCAGCGCAAGTACGGCGGCCCGCCCCCCGGCTGGGAGGGCCCGCACCCGCAGCGCGGCTGCGAAGTCTTCGTGGGCAAGATCCCTCGCGACGTGTATGAGGACGAGCTGGTGCCCGTGTTCGAGACAGTGGGCCGCATCTATGAGCTGCGCCTCATGATGGACTTCGACGGCAAGAACCGTGGCTACGCCTTCGTCATGTACTGCCACAAGCACGAGGCCAAGCGCGCGGTGCGCGAGCTCAACAACTACGAGATCCGCCCGGGCCGCCTGCTGGGCGTGTGCTGCAGCGTGGACAACTGCCGCCTCTTCATCGGTGGCATCCCCAAGATGAAGAAGCGCGAGGAGATCCTGGAGGAGATCGCCAAGGTCACCGAGGGCGTGCTCGATGTGATCGTCTACGCCAGCGCGGCGGACAAGATGAAGAACCGCGGCTTCGCCTTCGTGGAGTACGAGAGCCACCGCGCCGCGGCCATGGCGCGCCGCAAGCTCATGCCCGGCCGCATCCAGCTGTGGGGCCACCAGATCGCCGTGGACTGGGCGGAGCCTGAGATCGACGTGGACGAGGACGTGATGGAAACCGTGAAGATCCTCTACGTGCGCAACCTCATGATCGAGACCACCGAGGACACCATCAAGAAGAGCTTTGGCCAGTTCAACCCCGGCTGCGTGGAGCGCGTCAAGAAGATCCGCGACTACGCCTTCGTGCACTTCACCAGCCGCGAGGACGCAGTGCACGCCATGAACAACCTCAACGGCACCGAGCTGGAGGGCTCGTGCCTGGAGGTCACGCTGGCCAAGCCGGTGGACAAGGAGCAGTACTCCCGCTACCAGAAGGCAGCCAAGGGCGGAGGCGCGGCGGAGGCGGCAGCTCAACAGCCCAGCTACGTGTATCCCTGCGACCCCTACACACTGGCCTACTACGGCTACCCCTACAATGCTCTCATCGGGCCCAACCGGGACTACTTCGTGAAAGGTTAGTGGGACTCTTCTCCGCCGCGGGTCCCCCTGGCGCCCCGCTACTAGGCAGCCTATACTTTACTGAGCTGATTGACCATGAGCCCCGCTCTTTTGGCTTTGGGTTTGGGTTCTGAGTTCTGTTTGCTGATTCTTAAGGCTGATTTCTGAGCACTGAATGAAATACAGACCCTTCTCTGGGGAGCAGTCCAATCAAGGGACTACAGTCTCTCTTGTAAGGTCCTGCACAATTTGGTAGGCCTGCCTATCTCTTGGAACCTAGGTCAAAACCTGCTTCTGAAATTAAATGTTTAAGTCGGGGCAGTGTTTTGTTGTTGCTGTTTGTAATTATTGGTCAGGACATAATGAAACCCGGCATGACACTGGAAAACAGATAACCCCAGTTCTAGGTCCTGTTCTCCAATTATCTGGATCTGTAACTAGTCGGTCACCTTAATGTCCCTAGGCCTGTTTTCTCAGTCATAAAATGAGGCAGGTGGACTAGCAGATCCCTTTTCAGGACTGAACTTTTTTACACTCTATAAATGTTTCTTTACTGAAGTTGCAATTACAATTCTAGGACTCACTTTGCTGGTTAATCTCCTGCATTGAGTGGGCAGACTTAGGATGCACATCTAAGTGGAAACAGAATGTTTGGAGCCTCTTGACCAGCCCATCCAAGTCCAAAAGTGCAGCCACCTGCCATGTAGACCTAGGACAAATTAAATGCCAAGAATCGTGGGCCAAGGTCTTCCTCCTGTGCTGTCACGGTTGCTTGCTCATCATTTTTTGTGTTGTTATTATAAGCAGGCAGCATAAGAGGCCGAGGGCGAGGTGCAGCTGGCAACAGAGCCCCCGGACCCAGGGGTTCCTACCTCGGGGGATATTCTGCTGGCCGCGGTATATATAGCCGATATCATGAAGGGAAAGGAAAGCAGCAAGAAAAAGCATATGAACTTGTGCCGAATTTGGAAATCTCTGCTGTCAATCCAGTTGCCATTAAACCTGGTACAGGTCAGTATAAAGCAGAGCAAGAATGCATCCATTCTACCTAAACCCCAACCCTATCTTTGAAGTGAATCCAAGCCCTCTGGGCTCTTCTGGTTACCCTAGGTGGATTCATCTTACCATGGTCAGCCAGAGACTAGGCAAAAAGAAGGTGGCTCCTAGACCTTCTTATCTGGAACTTATGGGATGATCTAGCTCCAGGTCTAGCTCCAACCATGTTCAAATCAAACTGTCAAGTAGGAACTTTTTCTAGTGGGTATCACCAATTATTGGGCTTTTTCTCAACCTGCCGCCAAGAAGGCAGAGTTAGGCCAGATAGTAGTGTATGCCTGTAATCCTAGCTGAGGCAGCTGAGGCAGGAGGATCACGAGTTCAAAGCCAGCTTCAGCAACTTAGCAAGACCCTGTCTCTAAATGAAGCCTTGGGATGAGGCTCAGTGTTGAGTGCCTCTGTTAATCCCCAATAACACTACACAAACACAAACACACACACACACACACACACAAAAGGCAGAGTTAAGGTTAAAGAGAGGGAAGATATAAGAGAGGAAGAATATGAGACTCTCTGTATCTTCCAATAGCCAAAATCTGTCTTTTTCTTTCTCAGGTCTATTTCTGCTGTGACCATCAGGCGGTTTTTTATTTGTTTATTTTTGCTTTTTTTTTTTTTTCCCCAGTGCTGGGATGGAACCCAGAGTGTCATCCATATAGGCAAGGGCCCTACCACTGAGCTATATCCCCTGTCCTACCCTAACTGTCTGAAGCCTGGAGGTGTAGCTTATTATCAGTTCTGGTTGTTAAAGGGTAGAAATCTCCCTTCAAGAGGAAGTAGCACCATTTGTCCCTCTTAATGGTCTGAGCAAACATGAAGACTTGGGGACAAGGCATCGTCAGAGTTTTTGTGATTGCTGATTCCCTGTATTATAATTCCCAGCACTCGCGTCCTCTTCTTGCTGGATCAGTAGATTTAGAGTAGGGATGCTCAAGTCAGTCCAGCTAGGGATCTTGAACTGTGCTCCAATCCCCAAGAACCTGTTTGCCAACATTGCTGCTACCCTTGGTCACCTAACCTGAGGCAGGGCTTCTGATGCTAACCTGCAAGAAATTTTAACTCCATTCAGTGAGCCCTGCATAAACTTGCTCTCAGCACGTACCTCATAAGCATCTAAAAACATGGAAACTTGAGTTGTTGAATAACTGGAGCAATATTCCTACGACCTCTTCCTGGCCTGAAGAGCATTTGAAGTTCAGCTACTCTGATTTTCCTGGACAAAATTGGGTCTAGGAATCTGTGTTTGAGACATAGAGTGGCATTGGCTTCACAGGGCTAAAAAGCATGTTTATAACTGAGCCTCCATTTGAAGGAAAGTGTTGATTTTTTTTTTTTTTTTTTTTTTTTTGCCTGTGAAATAGTTCCTCCATCTCTGCAGTTAAGTGACTGGCACTAGATTTCCTTATAAATATCATTGGTCCTATGAGCAATGTAAAACGGATTCCCTAGCTTTCTGTAACTCCAAAACATCTGGATAAAGGAGTTCTACTTATTGGGAAAGGGTCTTTTCCTCTTGGCAAGTTACAGTAGCTTAAGGTTTAACTAGAGAAAATAACCGTTGAACAGTCTTTAGCCATGTATCACCCCAGGTAGATTCCTGCAGGCTGGTAGCCAGAACCATGTAGAGTTTACTTGGTACAATCCCAACAGGCTTAAAATTGATAACCCTCTGGGTCCCATCCCCTTGGCCTCGATTTCTGATCACCCAGAAAATTTGAACTAGGAGAGACACCAGGGCAGTGGTGTCTGGGCACAAGACCAGTGGAAGATATGGTTGGAAAGGCAGGTAAAATATTTGGTTAAGGTTTTAGATATTTTTTATTGAATGACTGTACCATTGTTCCACTTACGGTCATTTGCCTCTTTACTTTTGATCAAGTCAATCTTCATTAGAATAAATGGACCTACCTATAGTTGAAGAAGAAACATAAATGAAAGGGTTCTTTGTGTATCCATTTCATATTTTTCCATATCCTTTCAACACACACAGCATACACACGCACACATTTCCCCCAAATCAATGCTGAAATCATTTCCTTGGGAACTTTTCTTATTGTGTGCTGACATTCAATCACTACTATCTGTTTGATTCTCTGCTTAAAATCACTCCTTTGGATGCTGTTCAGAAAGTATTTGAATTGGCAGGTCCCTGAAAGACGAGTCACTCTTCCTGCTTTACTGCTAGAAAAATTAGAGAATTTTACATCTTTTATTAGTCTCCCCCATCCTTGCTCTGTAACACTGACATCCGAAATACAGGGCAGGGAGAATGTGCGCAGATCTCTGAAGTGTCAAAATGAAACCTCACCAGCACTTGCTTTTTAAAAAGCGGTGAAAGTGAAGAAGGCCCTGGGTCTGGTGACGGAAGAGGTGAGTGAGAACTGACAGGCAGGCGCAGTGCTCACGCTTGCTGGGCCTCCCACCTTTGATTTCACTTTTTGTCCTGAGCCCATTCTTCAGGGTCTCAGGCCCTTTCCTGCTTGATGGGACATCAAGAGAAAGATTCAGAGGGCACTTTCCGTAGACAAGGGGAAAATGTTGGTGCACACCCCTAACTCTAGCCTCCCCTTCCACGTCGGGAGACACCATCCCGTGTGGTTCCAAGACAAGCAGAAGTTCTCTGCTGCCTCCCGTCCCTTCTTGCTGGGCAGCACCTTGTTTTTTTCAAAAATACCATTGAGCACATGGTAGATCCTCCTCAGTGACTGAAAGTGACGGACCTGTTTTGCCTTCTTGCTTCTCTTGCAGTGGCCATCCCTGCCATCGGGGCCCAATATTCCATGTTTCAGGCAGCCCCAGCCCCTAAAATGATTGAAGATGGCAAGATCCACACAATGGAGCACATGATCAGCCCCATCGCTGTGCAGCCAGACCCAGCCAGTGCCGCCGCTGCTGCTGCTGCTGCTGCTGCTGCAGCCGCTGCTGTCATTCCTGCAGTATCAACGCCGCCACCTTTCCAGGTAGAGCTCCCCTTGGGTCATTGTCATTTGTATGTGGATCCTCTCCTTGCTGTGGCATCATCTTAGCATTCGGCACTTGAATTTACTTGGAGCCTAGCTCTCTGTTAGAGCTATGGCATTGGGTGATTTTTTTTTTTTATTAAGAATTGCACACTCTCTGAGTGTGTCCTTGTTATTAAAGATAGGGAGTAGTAATACGAAGTATGAGGTGTGGTTTTTCAGGGTCATACTTTTGTACAGCACCAAAGCATGTTCAGTTCATGCTGTGAAGGAGGTGATGCCGGGAGTCCAGGGAGATGGAGCCTGTGTTCTTATTCTGATTTGAAGCTCATGAAAGATTTTTTGTAAATGTTTACCCTGTATACATAAAATATGTTTTATGTATTTGTGTGTGCACACATATGCGTAAAAAGCACAAGAATTTCTGTGTAGATAAAAGTCTATAAAACTTCACAAAAATTTGCCCTCACTCCTCTTCTCTGGCCACAGTTCACACTATTCCCCTGTCTTCCCAAACTCATGTTACCATTTGGGCCTCCTTCCCCTCCTTTGCTCACCATGTTCTCCATTTCTTGGTTGCGCCTCTTCTGCAGAGCCTCCCTCTCATCTCTCCTGGAGAAGTCCTCCCTCCCATACTTGTCATTACCACAGTATTACTTGACACCTAGCTGCCACTGTGCTCTGTCTTTGAAAGAGACTCCCCCAGGCCAAAAGCTACGTTTTAGGCTTCTTTATATCTTCAGTGCACAGCACAGAGGGACATCAACCCTACCAAAAAGTCTTGTTAGAGCTCTTCTCTGTGAAGCATTCAATCATGAGCACCTTACTACGAATGAGAAATGCCCGCGCCCAGTGTCTAATTGAACAAGAACTACCCAAGGCACGTATTGAGAAACTGATCACCAGACTCAAAGCCATTTCCATTGGGCTGGACTGGGGTTCTAGAATGGGTCATTTTGTACAAGTACCTCAGTGGTTCTGAAATAGCCATCCCAGGAGGATGCTCTTTCCCTGCTTTTGCCTACTGGGAACCCATTCTTGGCTGCATTACTCAGAAAAGGTTGAACCAATTGGAGTTTGTCAGTGTGTCATTAAGAATTCTTGGACTGGGGTTGTGGCTCCGTGGTAGAGCGCTTGCCTAGCATGCCTGAGGCACTGGGTTCAATTTTCAGCACCACATCTAAATAAGTAAATAAAATAAAGGTCCATCAACAACTAATAAAAATACAAAAACAAACCAAAAAAAAAAAAGAATTCTTTAAGTCAGGATCCCTTGGGGGCTGAGGTGATGGGGAGAAGGAAGGAAGAGACTCACACTGTACCATGACAGTTTAGTTATCACTTGAGGAATGATTGCAAATATCCATAACTTGAAAGTAATACTGCAATTAAGGTAATTTATTTTAATACCTATTTTTACTTCTAATTGGTACATAATAATTGTACATATTTAGGGGTACAGTGTATTAAGATCTGATCAGGGTAACTGGCATATCCATCACCTCAAATATTTGTCATTTCTTTGTGTTGGGAGCATTCAGAATCCTCTCTACAAGCTCATTAGAGATATACAATTAACTGATGTTAACATAGTTACCCTACTGTGCAATAAAACATCAGAAGTTATTCTTTCTAGCCAACTGCATTGAGTAATAATTATTAATTCTTCTCTACTACAAAACTCATGCAGTCAGAGTACAACTGTTGTCAGTTGATTGCTGTGGACATTTGTTCCTCCTCAGTACTTTGTGCAGAACGCCCAGAGCTACTGACTTTTTAACCTGCAGTGCCTTTGTACTCTTTAAGTCTGAACACCCTGTCCTTGTCCTTTAACCTGGATTCTCTAATAGGTTCAGCCCTCTGCTTCTTTTGAATTTCCTGCTGAATCATGGCAGAGAAAGGAGTTTCGGTGGTGATGGTGGTGGTGGTGGTGGTGAGGATTGAAGCCCAAGGTGCTTTACACTGAGCCACATCCCCAGCCCTTTTTATTTTTTTTTTTTTTTTTTTTTTTGAGACAAGGTCTTGCTAGGCCACTGAATTACTCAGGGTCTTGTTAAGTTGCTGAGGCTGCCCTTGAACTTGCAATCCTCCTGCCTCAGCCTCCAGAGTCACTGGGATTACAGGTATGCACCACCATACCTGGCAGAAGGAACATTTTTAAGTACCACTGATGGTTGAAAAGAATCCTCTCTAAGCCACACTGGAAACTGATCTCCCAGCGTGGCTTCCAGAACCTACCTGAGGTACACCTTCCATCCTCCTCCCCTGCCTTGCAGGTGCTCAGGGATCCAATTCAGCCTTTTTATATCTAAAAGTTCATGTGGCCTTTGCAAGCAGTGAAGAAATATTTGCCAGCATAGATTGGCTTTTTCAAATTGCCTCCTCACAGTGTTTCAATTCTCAACAAGAAATCTGAAATATAGGTGGAGCAGAGGTAACCATTCCTCCTGGAGGGAAACCCAGTCTTTTCCCTGCCCACCTGCCACCTTCCCACCTACCTCTTCTCTCCTCGACACCTGTCACTTTTTGAAGGTCTCAGACCTAGTACATATAACCAGGCCGGGAACACGTGCCCCCTCGTTTGCTAGAGGATGTAAGTCCCACCTGCACATGTTACTTGTGACAAAGGCATATTACCAACACTGATGTCAAAGGATTCTTAGCCAAGCACAGGGAATGGGGTGAGAACAAAGCAAATTGCATGCAATAAAGGGGGGGATGACCTTGGTGATTTAGGTATAAAGCTGTTAATAATATATTTATAAGCCTCAGTGCTCACAAAAAATCTGGGATAGCAGGAGGAAGTGAAATTCACAGGCCAGTCCCGGTCTCATTTAATCCACGGTTTCAGTTTCCTCAGTTGAATCAGAAGTAGTTTTTAAAGGTGTTCAATGGTATCTTTCTCCCGCTGCCACTCCCACATTTTTCTCTCTTCCTTCTGTTCCATTAAGCTGTATTAGTCAACGCAGTTGTCCTTCACTGGCTCTCTGCAAGACGCTTCTCATCTGTTCTTCCTTTGCAGGGAAGAAAAATCAAGGCTGGGGAGGTGACTGAATCACCTAAGCCATATGACTGGCAAGGCGCCAAATTTGGGCAAGCAGATCAGATTTATCTTTGTCCTTGCATTACAGAAAAATACTGTCCATGAAAGGGACGTCACCGGGAGTGAGAAAAGAGGCCAGGGGTTTAGCAACCTGCTCTTGATTTCAGGTTGGCCGAGGAGAGTTTGAGCCTTGATATTTCTCACGGTCTTAAGGAGGATTTGTCGACTCCACTCTCTGGGCACAGAGATGATTTTATCAGAAAGGACAGACAGACAGCATGAGCCTTCCAGCGCTCTGGTCACTACTGTCAAGTGCTGCAGACCCTTCCCTCCCGCTGCTGGTCATCCCATTGGTGCTGCCCTCTATAGAGATATCCCCTGCTGGGGCGCCCACCTAGGCCAGTTCCCGTAGATGGCAAGGTTTTCAAAAACTACCAGGTCACAGTGCATTTTGTTTCAGGCCTGAAATAGAACTACAACCCAAGGACCTGAAGGAAAACATCTGTTGGCAAAACAAACAAAAAAAAGCCCATTCTACCCATGGTTCTGCCAGCCCATGTCTTCTCCCAGAAATCATATGGATATAGGTTCATACACAGAGGTGATTAAAGATGTCCTAGCCCCATACTTGGATTTTACTGACTCTCAACTTCAGTCATTTGGTGGGCAGAAAGAATGACCTTTAAACTGGTTTGCACCACTAAAGCAGGAAGCCGGGAGCTCTGACAGGACACGATTCTGTTGAGATCCAAGTGGGCAGGATCGTGTCTTGAGTTTGACTGCATGACCACTAACTGGGTCCCCAGACCATAGTAGGTGTTCAGTAAAGTTCAGGGAATGTTCATATATGGAAATTTAGATATCCAAGCATGACCTGCCACCAGGAAGCCAAGTCATTTGCAGATATGTGCATAACTTGGTGTTGGGGGGACGGAGCACATCTGAGAGATGTCCTTCCTTCCCTGCCGTCTCCTTCCTTAGCGCATTTGTTATTAAAGCCTATATCCACACATTTTGGAAAGCGTTGCTGTGACCTAATCTTCCAGTTTCAACACTCTCCTGGTTGTAAGGGGTAGCTAATGGGACTCTCGCCGTACACTGCATAGTGTCATAGGAGGCCAGATTATATTGGGTCCGACATTTCATTGCTTAAAAGCCGTGTCGCTATATGCAAGTCACTCAACACATCTGGACCTCTCTGCGTCATCAAGTACCCACCTTGACTGGCCATTGTGATGATTCAATAATGTCAGTCAAACAAGGAACGCAGAATGGTGCCTGGCAGTGGTAATCACTGTTGTCGTTCATTATTATGATTATATGTTATTTGACAGAGTTGAAAAAAGCATTCCTAAGTTAGAAGTTCCCTTGAATATAATTATTGGTCTGATTCGTAGACGTGTTAGAGAAATAACTAATTTTTTTTTATAAGAATTCAGTAAGAACTAACTTTTAAAGTCTAATTTTCCATTTAGATGTAGTGAGGCGTAAGGAGACCAGACAAGCCTTGAGTTCAGGATTTTCTGTGGAACATAAGATGCCCCAATCCCTTTTTCCACAAAGCCGCTTTCAGAACTAGCTCCACAGCAAAGTTTTTGGAAAACACCTCACAGGACCTGAATCTTCCCCTCCTAATCCTGTTTGTTCTGAAAACACGGTGTCTTACACTCTGAGCAGGGGCTTGTACAGAGCTATCCACGCTGAGGCAGCTTGAGCTTCCTCACTTCTCATTTGGAAACTGCTCTTTGTCCTTCAAAACACAGTTTAAGCGTCCCCAAATTCTGAGATGCTTTCTCCAACTCTTTTAATTAGCAGAAAATCCTCTACATGGAGGGGTACGCAAAGTGGTGTCCTATCTCAGGTGGGACATGATAGGAGCCATCAATCACATTGGCTGGAAAGTACATAGTCACAAAATTTTAAGGTCATAGCTTAAAAATCTGTCCCTTTGAAGACCATTTCCATTAAGTTGGGAAAGTCTCCTCTCTGTGTCCCCACAAATAAGTGTGAGTGAAGGCAGCTGGCAGGTATTTAGGGGCCACATTTCAAGGAAAATACTTATTTTTTAATCATTGTGTGGAAGGAAGATTTTCCAACTCTCTTTCCAGCTCACTCTGGGGCATGGACAGGGTGGCATGATGGATAGAAGATTCCAGAGTATTCCAACTTCCCCTCAGCCTTCCTGGTCTCACTTTTACCAGGGGTGGCATCCTGGAATTTGGATGAATGAAGGTGCTTAAGGATGTCACTTCCCCTAGCTCTTTAATGGCTTTTACCCCAGTCCCTGTTGCTTGTTTACCCGCCTGGCTCCCCGTCCTGAGGTCCTGAGAGTGGAATCCCTTGCCTTCATCCATCTTGGCAGATTCTTCCATCCCTGGGAGGAGATGCTCATGGAATGAACAGGTGGTGGTAACTGTTGTGAGTGTGAACTGTGGTGATTTGGAGTGAGCAGGCTCAGGAAGGCTTCTTCTTGTCTCCCCTCAGGGCCGCCCCATCACCCCCGTGTACACGGTGGCTCCCAACGTTCCGAGAATCCCCACTGCCGGCATCTACGGGGCCAGTTACGTTCCATTTGCTGCACCGGCCACGGCCACCATCGCCACACTACAGAAGAACGCTGCCGCCGCCGCCGCCATGTACGGAGGGTACGCTGCTGGCTACATACCTCAGGCCTTCCCGGCTGCTGCTATTCAGGTCCCCATTCACGACGTCTACCAGACCTACTGAGGCCGGTGACAGGCGCAATGGCCAGCCACAGAGATCGCTGCAGGGACACTGCACAATTTATGAAGAAAGGACCATGTTGGATTCGCGCACGTGTGAACTGTGACCGTGAAGAATGTTATCGAATATCAAATGTTACCTGAAATATTTTATACACATGAAGTTTTCACTAGTTTTTTTTAAGACTGTCCTCAACGGAGCAGGCCTGTGTTCATACATTTCTCAGAGACTCGCAGGGGCCCGTGCCTTAATACATACCATCTTTTAAAAAAAAAAACTTGTCTGCCGAATGACATTTGTATAGAGGTTTTGTGTCGTTCTGTTTTTTAAGGATCTATTTTCAGTATGAAGGTTATTTTCTTAACTTCTGCACTCCGGAGAGTTCTATTTTGTGGTACCTTCCATAGTAGACCAGCTGGCTGTTTAAAAAGCACCCTCGAGCAGCTGGAGGACTGTTTTGAAAAAAAAATATATTCACTATTTAAAGATGCAAACAATCGTGCTTTAAAATACTACACCAAGCATTATTTTAAAGGTGATACTGGAAAGTGCAATTTTAATATGAGTCAAACCTCTGCTGTATTTCCGCTGGCATTAAGGGTTGACGGTGTTACCGTGTGTTACCGTGTGTTACCATGATGCTTCTGTTTTTGAAAAGAAATCGGAACACTCAATCTCTCCTCAGGCCAACATGGAAATGACTCGTCACACTCTTGAGTCCAAACACTGGAAAGCTGTACCTGTCACCATTACCTTGGGTTGGTTCTCCATGTGCCTTGATTGTTAAATGTGCCCCTCCCATCCCGCCTCACCCCAGTCCCCATCCCTAGTCCAGCTTCAAAGTTTGGCAATTCTAGGAAGCATGAAGAACTCTATAGAGAAAACAACTGGTGGCTTTTGTACTTCTCCCTGGGTTTTTAATGGGCTTCTTTGTTTTGTTGTACTGTTTTGTTTTGTTTTGTTGTTTGGTTGGGGAGGTATTATCTTCTACATGTGCTCTTTTCAGTAGCAGAGTACGTGTAAGCACCGGGTTTTAATATTATGTTTGCATAAGACATCTTCGCATAGCTATTTAATTGTCCAGGATAAAACTTTAATTCCCTTTCTGATGTTTTAATTTTATTCCTTTTTGAAGTATGGGTTTTTAGAGACAAAGAATGTATGTTGTTGTGGACAAGATCCCAAAGATTCTTGTCAGCAGAAAGTTAAGCCTCTGGCTGCCTTATCATGTTTCATGCAAAATGCTGTAGTCACCGACGGTGTTGGGAACGTTATGCTTGTAGAAAAGGGCTTTTCCTCCTTAGCTGTGCACTCGGTGGCTGAGCTGAAGTGCGGCCCGCACATCCAGGAGGAGAGACCTGAAGGAGTTTTATAAAAGTTTGTAAATATCTTCTCATGCTGACTTTTTAGTCTTTTTATGTTGCTGAAGTTCACGGTATAGAGTTTAATGCCAAGTGAAACCATTTTATTTCAATGTTATTAAAAAGATTTGCTTTATTAGGAAGTAAATATATTGTTGCAGTGTTTTGTGCCTGTTTAAGGGCTTTTGTTTAGCAAAGTGAATGTAAAATACAGTAAAATGTTAAGATTGTCATCTCTTCTATGAACTACATCAACTTGGAATTTTGAAAAGGCTCTATCCAGGAAGTTCGGTGTGCAATAAGGTAGCAGATCCACAGTGGTGTTTTATGTCATGTTAGAGATTCATCAAATCATTCCATTCACTGTATTTCTGTTGATGGCTGAATTCTTATTTATGGATTAATAATAGGATCATGCCCTTAACAAATACTTTTAGTTGTTTTTTTTTTAATAAAGAGACTCCCAAATACCTTCCCCCACCCATCTTGATGGGATGAGTTTTTATATATATAAGGAATATTTATTTAACTATTCTATAAAATTATTGAGTGCCTGCTAAGGCCTTTAAACATTCCTGACATTCCTTTCCATCATTCTTAAATGACATAAAGTGATAGTGCAATGTTCCTGATGAGGTACCCAGCAAGCTTCATCCAAACTCAGAATCTGTTGGAATGACTAATCCAACAAAATGCAATTTGGATCAGATCTTCATCCCTTGACTGTGTGAAAGAAGTACTCTCCTTCTGGTGAAGGATTGTCACAGAGGGTCACTGGATGAAACTCTGACCCAGTGCTCTTACTGTATTTTACATGTGCCTGTAAATTATTTGCAAAAAAGAAAAAGTTTTTTAACGGTATCTTAACATGGCAACTACCAAACTACCTTAAAAACAAACGTTGGTGACAGCCAGTTAAGTATCAGTGAGCCTCCTCTCTGTGGTCTTACCTGTTTCTATTGTTTGAAAACCATTTCATGTACACTACTGAGGTAAGTTTATAACTTGAAATGTGAACTTTTTATTTTTTAGGGGTTAAGAACAAACTACATAAATGTTTAAAAAAAAGTTTTAGAGTTCTGCTTCACGTGCTAGTAGTTTAGTTGTTACTTTTAGCTGCATTGTATTTGAAAAACTTTTTAGATCTTGCTCCATTTGCAGTACATTCTTAGGATGTATGTAGTAAATAAAGCTTTCTTTAAAGCAATTTCAAGACTTTATTTTAAATTGTGGGGTTTTGTTTAACACTGTTTTTTTTTTTTTCCTCTAACAAAATTAAGAAAGCCCTGATCTAGCATAGAAGTGATTTCACTAATTCAGCATTTTCATTTGGAGAAACAGACAAGCTATTGTCATGTCTTTAGCTTGAAATTTCTATGGAAGATGAGTTATCGGGTTCAATTGTGAAGTGTCAGTATCCTCAAACTTTGGCTCAGAAGGTGGAGCATTCAAATCATGCTAAGCTTTTGGATTGGAACAGAATGTGGCAAATGGTCCCAGTCTCTCTGCGGAAGTCTGGTTAGGTGCCCAAGTGCTTTACATCCAGAACTCTCTGTGGAGGCGGCTGATGTGACATTGAGCTGTTCGGTGATCTCACGAAAGTGCTGAGGTGACCTTGATGGTCACTGCCTGTGAAACCCAGGCTTTCTTGTTTCTCCTTTTTATAGTGCACGGCAAGGTTATAGAACGCTTCCTTCCCTTTTCTGTAGAGACCATCAGTAACTTCACACAGTGTCTTGTAGCAAAGTCAGGCAAGGGATTGGACAGAAAGGGACAAGTTGTCCAGGGAATTACTGCACTTTTCAAACTTGCTCCACTTGGCTTTGCAGGTGATTAAGATCAAGAATTTTACCTTCTTAGGGGCTGGGAGTATAGCTCAGTAGTAGAGCGTTTGGCTGGCATGTAGAAGAGGCTCAGAACCCAGCAGGGCTGAGGCTGCTGCCTTACCTTTGAACCTGGGTCATGGCCTCCCCACCCACATTCCCTGGAATCCTAATTTCCTGCTTCCTCTTAGAAGTATAAAGGCCTATTGAGAGGTAGAACAGGCCTGGTAATCTCTCAAGAAGACAGATCATTAGCAATTTTTTTTTTTTTTTTTGTACCAGAGATTGAACCCAGCGGTGCTTCACAGCTTAGCCACCTCTCCAGACCTTTTTACAAGACAGGGTCTCACTGAGTTGCTTAGGGCATCACTAAGAAGCTGAGGCTGAGCTTCGAACTTGCCATCCTCCCGCCTCAGCCTCCCAAACTGCTGGGATTACAGGCAGGTGCCACCACGCCTAGCTAGCAGTGTTTTTAAGGGCAACATGATCTACTGATTCCTTCTTGTTCCCAGAGGTGGAGTACAGATGCCCTTGAAGAGTCACAGACTTAGATTGATCATGTTAGGACGGGAGTTAACAATCATACAAAATAGGTAGCACACCTCTCAGGGAGGGTGGGCTCTGTCCTTAGAGCTCAGCTTTGATCCTCTTGCGCTCCCGGGACTGGCATCCTAGAACACAGAGCTCAGTAGTGTGTCAGGTGAGGATAAATGTCATGACTCCAGGGTTCACTGGGCTCCGGCTTCCGTCACTTCAGGTGTACCACGCAGTAAGTAGCAGAGTAGGTGAGGCAGAAGGCGACTGATCGAGGTCACACAGCTGGTAACAACCAGGACTCAAATCTGCACTCAGTGTCCACATTCTGGATTCTCAAACAGCACGCTGACCCTAGAAATGGATAAACCTATTCTTCCAGGAAAAGAAAAGAAAAGGCCTTTTTACAAGAGCAGTTTCTTTCCTGATGGTTCTTAGTGTGTTCTTATCTGCAATTTGGTGGGTAGGAACTGAGGGTCGATGGCTAGAAATGCCTACTCTCCACCTGGAAGGGACAGCAGCATGCTGGGCTGGTGAAAGGGTACACCTTGGTAGATTTAAGGAATTCTGTTAGCTGAGATTATGGGGGAGGTTTACCAACCCCATAGGAAATTAGCTGTATATACTCTTGAGATTGGTTGGTTTGGGGCTGGAGCTGGAATGCAGAGCCTCGCACATGCCAAGCACATGCTCAGCCACAGGCCACACACCCAACCCTCTGATTCTTTCCTAGAATAGGTGCTTTTTTTTTTTAACCCAAAAAAATGTCTATCATGAGCACTTATTTAGTTGAAAGAATAATTAACATAGTGTGATTTTCCTTGTGTATTACTTCAATTATTGTACCATCTTACCTTTTACAAAATATTCAGGTCACTCAGTGTATATATCAGATTTGGGATTTTTGTTGTTTTTTTAAAAATATTTGTTAATACTTTTTGGTTGTAATTGGATACAATATCTTTATTTATTTTTATGTGGTGCTAAGGATCAAACCCAAGGCCTCCCACGTGCTAGGTGAGCGCTCTACCACTGAGCCACAATCCCAGCCCTTGTAGTTTTTAATCACAGGAAGTGTGACATTTTGGCCTGGTTGTTTCCATGAAATGACACTTTGACACACCATGACCCTAAAAAAAAAAAAAAAAATGACATCTTCAGCTTTTTAAAGAATTAACCAACGTGAGTCACAATGGTACATAACCTGTAATCCCAGCAATCAGGGAAGCTGAGGCAGGAGGATTGCAAGTTTGAAGCCAGCCTCAGTTACTTAGCAAGTCTCAGCCTCCAAATAAAAAGTAAAAATAAAGGGCTAAGGGTGTAGCTCAGTAGTAGCCCCTGAGTTTAGAACTAAAAACCACAAAATAAATAATTACTGAGTAGGATGACGCAGATGTTCTCCCTCTTCCTTGTGTATGACACATCCCATTTCTGATCCTCAAGGTCAAAGATAGAATTAGGTTAAAAGATAGAATAAGACCCAAGCCTAACTACAGAAAGCTTAGCTCATTCCAAGATCTAAGTTGCAGAGTATTGCAGTCCTTTCTCCTCTTTCCCTCTTTAATCTCCCCTTTCTAGGTGCCCTGTGTAGCTCTGTTTTCTAATTCCCCATGCCAGTAACCTGGGACATGTGACTACCCAGGTACTCTGTGATCAAGCACCAGAACTTGCTGGAGCAGGCTGGGCTCCCCTCAGCATACCTGGGGGGATACCTGGGGGTATCCAGCTGCTTACCAGTCATGCCACCAGTCATACCTCTGATTTCTTAATTGCTTACAGATAATAATCCTGACCTCAAAAGTTTATTGTGGAAATCAAATAAATTCATGAATCTTAAGAGGCCTGTTACGTGCCTATAATCCCAGCTAATTGGGAAAGAGGCTGAGGCAGGAGGATCACAAGTTCAAGGCTGGGAATATAGTGATAGGGTGCTTGTCTAGCATGTGTGTTCAATCCCCAGGACTTGGAGTGGTGTTTTTAAAAAGGCTGACATGTTATAGGCACTTTGAGTGTGTGTGTGTGTGTGTGAGAGAGTGAGTTGGGGATCAGACTCAGGACTACATCTTGAGAGAGAGAGAGAAAGTGAGTTGGGGATCAGACTCAGGACTGTATCTTGCTAGGCAAAAATCTCTGCCACTGACCTGCATCCCCAGCCTCTGTAACTTTTCTCAAAGTCCACTTCCTATTGCTTTCCCTTTTGATCTGTACTATAAATGCATTCTTCCATACTGATCCATCAGCCTTTTCTTTTAAGCCCCCTCCCCCACCCCCAGTGCTGGGGATTCAACCCAGGACCTCTTGCACATGATAGGCAAGCGCTCTACCACAGAACCACACTCCCGACCTAAACCTTTTTACGTTTTTATTCAGCCAGTTTCTCAATACACATTTGTTGAATGCCAACGATACGCTAGCTCAGTGGAAAACCAACAGTCAACAAAATCATCTCTCTCTGTCTTCCAGAAACTCCTAGCCCTCCAGAAACTTTCAGATGGTATTCTATGGGAGGGGGCACTCACCCAGGCTTGGGTAGGAGGTCAAGAAAGCTTGGGGAAGAAATGGCATCTGTGCTGTGGTCTCCAGGATGAGTAGGAGCTGGGGCAGATTGGACAGGGAGAAGAGGAGACAGAAACCCCCAGGGCCCAGGGCAGAGCGACCAATCCAGGCCCTGAAAGCAAGTAGTTCAGTGTGGCTACTTCAGAGGAGGAGAAAGGGAGCAAAGAGGCTCCATCTCTGCTCGCTCGGCAGTCAGCATGGTTCATGGCTGTGTATTCACCAGGTAAGAAGGAGATCTGCTCTCTGTGAGAAGGAAGCTGGGAATGATAATCAAATGAGAAGAACCCTGAGGCATTCACCCATCCTTAGAATTTAGGGGTTAACTCGAGCATGCGCATCTGAGCCAAGGCCCTTAGGGCTGCCCAACATCTCCTTCTGCAGACCTAGTTTCCAGCATCTGGGGCCCTCCACCCTTTCCTCTGCAGGCTCTACAGCAGCTACATTGTCATCATCCCTGGGTTCCACCCACCATGGTACAGGAGTGCAGGTTTCTTGTGAAGGTACTGGAGGCCTGTGGTTGTCCAGATAACTGAGGGTGCAGAAAGATCCAAACTAGCTCTCCAGAGACACACTGGCCTCCCTAACAGGATGAAGCTCCCATGCCACCCCATTATACACAAATGCCCACAGGCAGTCCTACTTTCCTGAGCTAATTTTTAGCCACCCTTAGTTCTTGGCTTGCTCGACTTTGTTTGTCAAAAATCTTCATTAATGATTAGCCAACCACGAGGTTTAAATAGGCCTTAGTCATCCCCAGGCAGGTGAGACGTGTCACTGAAGGCTAATAGTTCCTGAGCTGACCTTGCTGGGGGGTCGGGTCAAGACATTTTGAGCCAAGGCATTAGGATAACCTGGGTCATGCCAGTTCAGGGTGGCTGGGATCTTTCATCTCCTTTTTCAGGATCGTATTCCATACTGTGGCAAGACCATGGGGCGCTATCATTTCCATCAGCCTCACCACCCCCATCTTCACCCCACTTGGAATAAGGCCACACTTTCTCAATTTTATGTAAAGTGCTGTGTTAATCCAACTCGCCAACAAGCCCCTGGTCTCCCCTTTCCAAATGAAATGTTCCCATAAGAAGAGAAATTCTTGGGGCTGGGGATGTGGCTCAAGCGGTAGCGCGCTCGCCTGGCATGCGTGCGGCCCGGGTTCGATCCTCAGCACCACATACCAACAAAGATGTTGTGTCCGCCGAGAACTAAAAAATAAATATTAAAAAAAAATTCTCTCTCTCTCTCTCTCTCTCTCTCTCTCTCTCTCTCTCTCTCCCCTCCCTCCCTCCCTCCCTCTCTCCTC